TCCGGAAATAGTCCCCCGCTGCGCCGCGCGCACGAAAACGCATCTGAGGGGGTCTAATTTCAAAATTTTTCTGGGGGAGGGCCAGAAACCCCCCCAGACCCCCCTCGCGTGCTCGGAAGTTTGAGTTACGGTTAGACCCCCCCCTGGTCCAAATCCTGTACACGCCCCTGTATTCACCAAATTTTCATACGTCGGTATACGCTGGCTTTCATACGGAGGTGTGACAGCGCCATAAGTGGTTGGGCCAACGTTGGCCCAACGTCAGCATGTTATCTGGGTGATACAGAAATATTAGCAATAGCTTGTGTACACGAGTAGAGTAGAAAATATTGTATAGGAGAGAACTCAAGATGCACGACTTCCAGCTGTAGATGGCAGCAGTGTAGATGGACACGCAAGAAGGATGTTCTCTACCGTTGCTGGGCTGTCAAATTGGAAGCTACCAGAAACTCCTTCCTGCTCTCTTGCCGCGCCGATGGCATTTTTAATTGCGAAGAAAACTGTTGAGGCCAACAGCAACGGTGGTTCTCCAACCGCCTGCAAAAAAAACCGAAGAATTTTGATTTTTTTTTTAGAATAAAAGCAAATATGTTGTTATATAGCTGCGAATAATCTACATACGCATTTCTATTTCGACTTATTTGTGTAGCACGTAGACAGCGGTGCACATAATATACTAGAGATATTCCAAGTGCCAATTATATTCAAGTGAAAATGTTTGCTACGAGTATACGTATTGAAATCGACGCTCTTTAAAAGTTACATGAACAACAGAGACATTCGTGTAACATACCTTTGATGAATATATGGCACGAGGGTTCTCCGAGTTACGCAGTAATGCAACGTTAAACTCCACTGGTACATCACTGACACCTATAATACAGAACATGCAGAGACTAACGTATGCACCAAAAGCATATAAATAATTGTAAAAATGGCTTCACATATTAGAAACATTCCAGCTTCCTTCATCCTATCTTGAAAGGAATTCAAAATTAAATACAGATCTGCAACTCTTAGCAAACAATATGCTATTCGTTTCAAATTAATAAGATGGTGTATCCATTCACTGGTTCTAGGTTTCCAAATTTGATCAAACCCAGTAGTACGTATAGTTAATAAAAAGTTAAATCCTTCCCGCGCCTTCATACGCATAGCGTATAGCTACAGGCGCATAGGGCGGTGCCTATCTCCGTTTCTGTAACCCTGAGGCCCCGCAGCTGTTTTCACAGTAAATGCTACAGTAGGGGGTTAGTCCACTGTAGCACAGTACGTATAGTACTGCCCACAAAACTCTGAATTCCCAGTCTCTGTCATGGATCAACCTGGACATCAATCAAAATCACTCAATATTACTCTGTCATAATTCACAAGTCTGCATACGATGATGCTACAGTTAATTAAGCAGAAACGATTAAACACAACCCGCAGTCTGGCAAGTCTATATATTCTTTACTGCAGGCATTATTAGATGTTGCACGTGTCATCTCCTGGTGTCATCATACAACACAGGCATGAAAATTAGATGTTTAGTGTTAATTTTTAACATCAGATTAAACTATTAAATGCATAATTATGGTGGGTTTCACATGAAACATCACCCGTTCCTTCAATATCCCCAATATAGAGTTTTGTTATTTGAACTCTGTTACTAAAGCACAATATGTCTACCTGGTATTTTGTAGTTGCCAGTGTGACGAGTGCACAGGAAGCCATCTGCTGTGTATCGCAGCTCCTCTAGTGTCAGCAATCCACAACCTTGCACAAAAGCACCCTCTATCTGGCCGATGTCTATAGTTGGATTCAGACTCTTCCCAACGTCCATCATGATATCTGTTCTCAGAATCTGTGCAACGAATATAAAAATACATGCTGGTCAAATCGTATAGGAATGTTCGTTGCAGTTGGTTGGAAGGTTAGCTGCTTGCGCATAGTAGAGTAGAAGACAGTAATGTACGCCAGCCAGCAATGAATAATTCCTCACTGACAGCGTCTAATTAACATAATGATAATGATCATTGACCTGCGATACTGCCTGAATGGCAGCGTAAAGAGAGTGAGGCCGTGAGACTGGCAGAAGGGAGTTCAATTTGAATTGCAACAAGTGAGAGTGGCGAGATTGCAGATTGGTGTAAGTATTATATTAATTAAAGTAATAGATTTGGATTGCCTGCTATATTTAGCAAGATTTTCACGAAGTCTCACAGATATATTGGTCTAGAATATTACAAATATACATCTACTTCACGCAACCAGTATACGCACGTACAACTATCCTTCCACCACGTACTACTTACTGTCACACAACAGCAAAAGAATGTGTGTCCAAAATTCGTGTAAAGTTATAACGTGAATGGTGCATACCACGTGATTTCCTGTGATACAATCAACCTCCACGTGTGAGCAGGCAGCTCCGAACGTGTGATAGGTGTAAGGATTGCCGGTGTGCGTGACAAAGTCGTAGCCCACTGTGCCCTCTGGGACATAAAACCCTGTCGCTGAGAGGCTCACTCTGTCAAGGTGGGCCGATTCAACCTGCAATAGAGAATGCCCATTCAGCCCCACATGCACCCCACACATGCATGAACACTTTATATAGTTCATCACTATATTAATTCTTGTCTTCTTCGCATAATTTCTTTGTAAATTCTATTCAACATTAAATTAGTCTTGTACATTTTAACGCTTGTAAACTCACCCAATCTTCCCACGAGCCACTTGGGTTCTGTCTCATGAATGGATCTATTCGCTCCCTGATGATCTCACACGCATTCTAAATAGGAAGACATGTTTGGAATGAAAATCATGTGGGATCGAAAGATGAGGTTAATTAGCACATTTTATGTAAATATGTGATAAAATAGTGCATGAAATGAGCATTGTCATATAATGGATAAAGTGCTTCCCTCCCTTCCTCTGCCATTTTGACCTGATTACTTAATTCTTTAGGATTTCCGAATGCATAATACAAATGCCGTAAGTGCAGCAAGTTTCAAGTTTTGCCCCCTATTGTTGACACTAGCAGACACATGCAAGCATGGACAGACATACATATATGGACGATCTTCCTATTCTACAAAGCATAAAAGCTATCAAAAACAGCTAAAAAATATCGTACATAAAAGAACAACTGAAATAGTAAGTGAAAAAATTAACATTTCAATCACTGAATAACTCACCAGAACAGCACCGCCAAATAAGTCGGTGCCTGTACTTCCAGACGTCATTGTGGCATTTGGAACCGTATCAGAACTTGTTTCATTGATGTGTATCTTATCAATGGGAATTTGAAGGGCTCTACTGGCCACCTGCGAATACGTCATATACTTAATCACCTATCGTAAATCACAAACATTACTGCATCACTTGAAAATAAGTGCCACTGAGATCACCTTAACAATTTGTAGTGAAATACATGTACGTACTTCTTATCAATAGCATATCCCTACTCATAGTACATATAAGAGGATATAGATATGTTCACAACAGTACCACGTTTATGGTATTACTATTTCAACTTCAATATACCTAGGGTCATAGAGAGTCAACTTTTGGCCAATTGTGGAGCATAGCATATTGGCATATTGTGTATATTTTCTGTAATTATATTTATTCATTCACCTTTATATTGGGATTATCACGTGGTAATTAAGTATTAAGTACCTGTAGCATTTTTGTGTAGAGGCCCTGACCCATCTCAACACCTCCAGATGTAAGCAGTACTGAGCCATCCGTGTACACATGCACCAGTGCAGCTCCCTGAATCAAACACATTCGTCATACACGTTTATTTTATTTAAACAAAACATATCAGTTACACACAACCTGAGCACCACAATTCTAGTGCTGTCTAAATAACATGGTCTCCCCTCAGCCACACATTATTTTCTTCTAATGAGCTATCTGTGTCCATGCAACTCTAGATCGCATCAGTCGCTTCAACACAACTATTACCACAAGTGGTCGCAATCAGCTAAAATGATATCTTTCTCGCCTTATCTCCTCTTCAAATTACCCTGTTTTGCTTTGTGCGCCACAATATGCTTTACCTTTTGTTTGTTCATTAAATCTGTATGAATGAAGTTACTGGATTATACTCCCACAATAGGCAAAGCTTGCAACGAAATTCCCTGCTTTCTTGAGCGATTTTTCTGCAGAAATGGCAGCATATAGCTAGCTCTTTCCAGCTCCACAGTTAATTATGCCGAAAGGACTGAGACAGGGAAAAGGAAGCACACAGCTATGCAGTGCTATTTCAGTTGTTCATACTGGTCTTCCATTCCACAGCTGCAATCATGCTTAAAAGACTCGTCATAAACATGACATTATATACAACAAGACAAGTACCCTGTGTAGATATTCAATGGACAGCACTAATACGCTCGCTCTATAAGAAACTGCAGTCCTGCGCTGCACTCAGCTCGACACAGCACGATGAAAACGGCGTCGCATACACTCCCCTCAATATCAGACTGTGGAGAATGGCAGAATTCAGCACCTTCGCGGTGAAAGGGTTTCTCCTGACTAGCATGTGATATGAATCCCTATCTCATACACGTTCTTACACCACAAACGGGCTTAGCCCTATGAGCAATGTTATTGTATACATCTCTAGCATTAAGGGTCATGATACTACCGAGGCTGGCATCTGACCTATACTGCCCATAGTGCTATACAAAAGTAGGAGAGAGGCAATTTCGCAGCATCATTGTAGAAAATTTATGATGAAATAAGAAACCGTTCAGATATTAGGCCTAGGATTTTAGGTATGAAAACAGATCAGCTTAGTTCGGAAGTAAACACATGCTAAAGATTACATTGTGCTTGCTCACCTTGTAGGTCAAATGGAAGCTCGGCCAATCTCTCAGTGCTATCGGCAACACACATCCAGGTTGATCAACATATGGCCCTGAGGTTGTCGCAAAATCCCCTAAAAAGCGGCTGTGTTTGATGTAGGCATTTTGTCTAAGCAGCACATGCGCTCACAATGTGCAGCGTTTGGATTTCTGACGGCAAGGCATCAAGCGTAAAAATATTAGAATCAGACGATAACATGATATGAGAGGGAAAAGTAAAGAAAAGTAAAGCTACTGAATTAATTTAGGTACTATTCTACTGGATCAATACTATCCGTTCTTATGCTATATTTCTACAGTGCTTCTGTCGTATATCCACCTTTTCCTTCTTGCTCTGGCCATATCAAGTGATACCCAGCGGGGTCCCTCGGCCTCATCACAGGCCTACTCCTCAGGTCATATAACATTATCAGTGAGAGATACTTACTGCTCCTGAATAGTCTTCTGCTCGTCCAGCATTCATGTAGATTTCGCATTGTAAGGCAGTAATCCTTCCATCCACGCTGCAGCCCACCTTAAATGAAAAAGTCCACAGCAGTATATTACAGCAATCTCATGTGTGTGTGCGTGCGTGCGTGCGTGCATATGAGAGTCTGAGTGCATGTGCAACTAAATGTGTACAACATTCTCTCCGAAATTCTCAGAAATCAGAAATACTCATGAAAACTGTCAGTAAATTCTTGTCATTACTAGTTCATCTCTCCCTGTTTGATTGTGGCAAACGCTTCGTGTTTGGCCCCTATACAATTCTTCTTTTCATCCATTTCCGTGCCTTGTCTTCTTTCCCTGGTTTAGTCTCTTCAAGGATCGTTCCTCCTTCTGGTTTTGTGTCTATTATAAGTCCTCCTTACTTGGCTTTCCGGTCCTTTTTTCTTATTTACACAAACAACAATATAATATTATACACTATATAAATTAATCAAGCGCAAATAAAATATACCTTAAGAGAATACATCATTAGTAGTATCATAGGTCCTGTAATCTGCGTGCCTCCAGCGTTGCATTTCACTATTTACTGTACATTCAACTAGCTGGCCTGTTAGCATCTAATCTATATTTCAGTTTGTATGTATGTATGTATGTCCCGCTAGTCGGCCGTACGCGGCGGGACTTCCACAGCCGCCAATTCAGCGACTCTCGGATGGCTTAATTTCCAGGGAGGAACGGATTTCTTATCACCGCCTCCGTCGGCGAGTGTCCTAGACGAAAAAAAGATCAAATTAAAAAATTTGATGAACAATTCAATAGATGGCGGTGCAGAATACAGATTACACATGTCTCGCCGCGCCTTCCCGGTGCACGTACGTCGTGGATACCATTGGTGTATACCCGCTTCAACGGCGCGCACGTGTCCTCAGAACTGTCGCTATAATCGGCTGAACCGTCCGTCTCGCGTACCACCGCGGGATCCCCGTTGTGCTTCAACATGCGCAACACACGTCTCCGCGGAAATAGCTTGTTTCTTTAAGCTTTTCGGAGGTTGTTGCAGTATGCTCACTTTCCTGGCCCTATCACCGGTTAATTCATCTCAAAATTCAACATTTTTTACGCCTCCACCGTACATTTCAACGTTAGTACAACACTTTCCAAAGTAAACTAGAGCACGTCGCGGCAGTAGCTCCCACACAGAGCCTCCCGCCCAGCCGCAAGCTGAACTTCTCTCAATGCTGAAAATTCTTTTTTATTAATGTAATTAATTAATTAAGTTGGGAAAAATATTGTATTAATTACATTAATACAATAAGGTTAATCCTGGATCGCGGATTAGCTGCGAGCCGGCAGTGCAAGGGTGGGGAGGACTGTGGTTGGCCCCTTAGCGCGCTGTGGTTGCCGTGTTTGTATGTCTAGTACAAGCGGCCAGCGCACGCGTAAGCAGAAGTGAACTGAAACGTGGCATGTAACACCACAAAAGCCAAACCGAAAACCTCAAAAACTCGAGCGGGTGAAAACATTTCAAGCACCCGCCATGCCGCTGGGCGGAGTAACGTATGGTAGATGATAATAATAGCTCTCAAACTGACAGGAACACTTCCACGGGTAAGCCTATGTAGGGGTTAGCAAGATAAACTATATACATATTATTTTGATATTCATCTTTCATTTGTATTATTTCTCACAGTTTTTTATTTTTATCTTCTATCCTTCTCTGACTTTCTTATTATTTTTTTTTACAGTTTGGCGGGATGGCACTGGCCGATGGGGATGGGGGATGGCATGGACTGCGCACGTCTACTGAGATGGATGGCAATTGGCATGGGATCGATATGGATGGGATGGCGATGCATGGATGGATGGTTGCATTCATGGATAGCATAATAGTTAGAGTGTTTTTGGGAGCATCTTCCCTTTCAACCAAGCGGCGCCTCGATTCCACCAACTGAGTAATGGCCACTGATTTCCTGGCCCGGCGCCAACGCCGGGTATCCCGCTAGTAACCTTATAAATGTCCATACTTGTAAAGCCAGCTAGAGCAGCAGAATGGCTCCAACATATTGGCCAACCTCCAGCTCCCGAGGTTTCTTTCCACACGCAAATGCACCGTCCCGTAGAAAATGTGATAGCTAAAGCAGTTCTTAATATCACTCCATTGCCAACCCCCCCCGCCCCGCGCCCCCCCCGCTCTCTCTATATCTATTCGCCGAGCCAAAGTGTTCACATTGGCCTGAAGATAATAATATTGCTCCTGTCTTCACGCTTTACCCGGACCGAGACCCGCTCGCCCTCGCAAAACACGCGCCGCTACTGACCTCGCCCATTTTATTAGGCCAATTAAAACAAACAAAAATTAATTTCGTTTGCACGAACGCCAAACAGAAAAAAAAAATCCAAATTGTTCCGGGCAAAAACGATACTACACAAACAGAATATACAATATATCAATAATACACATGCCGTTGTTGAAACCTAGTCTACAG